ATTGTGGGAATATGCTTTTCATGTATGAAGATCGACTTGGTGTTTGTTCCTGCTTATACTACTAGACTATAACAGATTTTATTACCCTAAATAAACAGTAAAATATACTGTAAAATTACCATACAACCCAGTTATCCTACAGGCTACTGGCTCTAGCTTCAAATTTAGTGTAAAGACACGAGTGGTATCACTCTTCTCATTCAATTCTCAGCAAGAAAGTGAACAAGCGTATTTTCTAAAATGCCAGACTATTCCTTTAAAATAAAGACTTTGGCAATAATTAAATAATGTCCGTAAAAATACGCTCTTTGAGGGATTATTTCCTGTCAGAAGCATATATTCCTGCATGGGTGTGAAGTGATTGACCATCAGCAGAGTGTAACTAAACGCACACATTGATACTAAAGTACTCAACTGGAGGACAATTAAATTAAAGACAATTTCAGAATAAAATGTAGTGCCTGCTTCTTGGTGCAGTGTATCCCAGTAATCAGTCTTCTGATTCTGTGTGTTTTTTTGCGATGTCCATGACAACAATTAATCATAGCAGACCATGCTTAACTGCAATGACCAACAGTTATTTTTAAATTCAATGGCAGCAAATACTGTGAGTCATCAATGTTGGATGTGCACAGACAAAAGTGTTAAGGAGAGGGAGGACTATACACAGCTGCAAGGAACACAGAAACACAGTCCTGAAGATGAAGATTTCATGCTGATCTGATGAATCATGACTGAATCTTTCTTTTCAGGTATGTGAAGAGTTTGATGTCGATGTCTCTTGGCATCTTTCTCAGCCTAAAGTCTTGAGGACAGAACTGACCTGTGAACTGCCTGTTCTCAACTCACCACAAATGTCAATTCTTCTACAGACTAGCGATTTGAAAGAGCTGAAAAGATGAGTTATGACAGTAGCGGATATGAGTAACTTCTTTTTCCCATAGGTCTTCAGAACTATGAGTTGCAGAGATGGTTTTCTCTGTATGGGAGAGTCAAGATTTATTAATTAGAGGCTAAGAGAGATTAGAGACAAAGACTAACTAGATTATTTTCAGACAAAAATCAAATGATTTAATGGAACAAAAGAAATAATCCTGGCATTAATAGACTTAACGACGACGAGGCTGCTCATCCATCTTTAGACGATTTCAAGCCTTGTTGACAGTGTGATGAAGACATATGAACACGCAGCTCTTCCCGCTCGGCATTGTCGGCGTCCTCCTTCCACCTCTACTGTGCCCTAGCTGAGGTTGATCTGCCCAGAGACAGCACTAACAAGCCAGAACCACGGGGTAATGGTGCCTCCGTCACTGCTTAGGCAGCTATCCAGAGACATACATAGACACAGGGATACAAGGAATGAGAGCGAGTGATGGGGCCGGCAGAGAGAGAGAGAGAGAGAGAGAGAGAGAGAGAGAGAGAGAGAGAGAGAGAGAGAGAGAGAGAGAGAGAGAGAGAGAGAGAGAGAGAGAGAGAGAGAGAGAGAGAGAGAGGGGAAGCTGGGTGAAGGGAAAATATATAGGAGGGGAGAAGACACTTCACGCTTCAGCTTTCAGAACCAAAACGCTGTGTAAATAATAAGAGAAACAGTCCACCGATGAACAGCACAAGCTTCATATTTACTTGTTTAAATGTTTAAGATCAAGGAAATATTAGTTTGCCTTTTTCATTCTCATTTTATTTGAATTCAGGAGACAAACAAAGAGGCCATGGGACATTTTTTTTAAAACACCTTTTTCTGTATTTTAGAATATTATTTGGCGACTATTCTACTCATTGATTAATAGTTAAAGACATTTTTGAAGTGAGAATGCCAAAAATTCATGCGCGAAAATTTGCAGGAATAAACCTCTGTTGGTTTTGGACTGCATTATAAGCTACTTGAAAATGTCACTTTAGGTTCTGGAAAATTGTGAGAGGGGAAATAATCGGTAAATCATTTTCCACTGTAGGATGTTGGTCTCTTTGTTCCTATATGGCCTTGTGTTGTCCTTCCATTGTGGCTAATATTAAATATAGCCAGATACTAAACACAACCAGCTACAAATATACCAAGTTTGTTTGTGTGTGTGTGTGTGTGTGTGTGTGTGTGTGTGTGTGTGTGTGTGTGTGTGTGTGTGTGTGTGCAGTGCTCTAGTTGGTTGTTCCCCACCAGCTGGGACTCTTGTCTAAGGGCAGACAACCAGCGTGTGTGGAACATATGTGTCACCACAGAACATAAGCAAACACAGTAGGAACACGCATGCAAATCTGGCCAACAACCACACCTGCGTGCAAAAACAAACGAGGTGATTATTTTTACATCTATGAGGCAGCAGTTTAGTGCATATATATAACTGTGGTAAGACGTACTCACTGAAAGTTTTTGATCAATGAACATTGACTGGACGAAACAGATGATACGATCTACTCTCACATATAAGAAAAAAAAGGATGCTGAAACTGATTTTTGGTCTTTCATAGGAATAACCTATTAAGGGATCCTAAGGCCACTCAGTCCCAGAAGCAATTCCAATTTCCATTTGCAGTTTCCATCCCCTTTGATAATGCACCTCTGCTGAGCACGGCGGAAGTCGATGTGATGTTATTGCAGTGGCAGGTTTGCACTCTGCCATTCGGTCTCATATTCATAAACGTACGACAGACAGACAGGAAGCAGGACGTGTTTTTCTGTGGAAGTAATATAACCTCGGGAAAATGTTCCCTCTCTCAGGCGGGAGCAAAGACAGAGAGAGAGAGACAGACAGACGAAGAGAGACAGGCAGGTGGGGAAGCAGAGAATACAATGGGTGCAGATGTTAACGGATGACAGATCACAGCAAAGAGCACTGCTGCTGCTGGCAGAGTTACAGCTGACATTTGGAAAGCTATGACAGTTCAAGTTTTGCTACAGAGGATTTTAAAATGATGCAAAGGTAAGTGGACTGTTGGCGAAGAGACTCAAAGCACCCTATTGTATGTTAAGTGAGAAAGTCCAGCAGCTGGTACAGTATAGCAAGCACGTCCCCCTTTCTGGTGATTGTGATTGGTCTGTGGTATCTTAAAGTTTAGAAGAAATATGAGGCTATAAAACGTTCTTTAATTTATTTTCCTCTTGTCACTTCGTCGAATTATAAATACAAAATACTTACTTCTAAATAAATACGGAAAAACAATATTTCATCACACTTTCCTTCCGATCCCTTTCCTACACAGCCAAAATGATTGATCTCTCTGCTTCTGTCTCCTCTCTGTCTCATCATATTCTCTATATCATCCGCCACATCCCCCATCATCCATAATAATCCATAAGTGTGAGATATCAGCAGGACAGTGCTCTGCTGCCGGCTTTACAAGGCTGTCTCTTTGTCTCAGCGTGCTGCTGTGAGCCGCGCAAAGATCATTCTGATCCTGCATGCGAGTCAAAACAAAATGCTCAACTAGTCAAGCGGCTGAATAAAAAGGGCACAAGGAAGAAAGTGGAAGATGCTTATATATAACCATGCATGCACAATGTAACATGCAACATAGGCTGAGCGTGTGATGGTATTCTTTTATTTGGCCATTACACACACACACACACTCACATATATATATTCCCACATTTTGTCAAGATTTATATTTACATTTTTGATATTATTATTATTTTTAATTATAGAGTATGAGGTAAATGTAGATTGCTATAGATTGCTCTTATTGTTTAGTCAATAAAAGTCTTAACTGATTAAGGAGAGGATTGAACTTTCATTCATTCATTTTTCTGGACTTTTCTTTAATCTCTGTGTTAATGATTTGGAATTGAAAGACAACTCATCGGCATCAGAAATGGGACAAGGGGCCCCAACTATGCACTGCTTTTATTCATTCAGTCAAGAGCCAAAAAAGTTATATGTACAAAAATGCATTGTATTTTATAAGAGTAACTTTTTTGTTGTTGTACACTATACTTTGTAAATGTAGCGGGGTAGAAATATACTGTATAGTGCCATAAAAGGGAAACAAATCAAATAAAGTATCACAAAACTGTATTTAAGAACACTTATTTACACTAAAACACGTACTCAGTATAGCCATTGACACACTCCCTCTCTTAATGTTATGTTTCTAACATGTAATTCAGTTTAAACGCTTAAGACTTTTGGCTCTAGCATCACTATAAGCGACCTTGAGCTCTGAGCCCTGTCAGCATCCTCTTGTTACTATATGCATGTATGCATTAATGACTGAATGTATTAACACGGCCAGTGAGAAGGCCTCTTATTCACATAGCACTTTTCTTGGAATGGGAACTTTTAAAGTTCAAACTTCAACAGCACAGCGTTTTGGTACAGCAGTACATGCGTGTGTGATCTAAAAACCTAAAAATCACAGGAAGTCTCACACTTCACACTTCCTGACATTTAAATCAGTGGACAACTGAGCCACCGCACAAACTGTAGTGGACTTGCTCTGAAGATCCAATTACTGAGGGGTTTCTGGGGGGGGGGAGAAGAAGAAAAAAAACTATCTCGACAAAACACCAAAAGGCTCTGTGTCCCAGCAGAGTTGCCTGAAAGTAATGACTGTTGCTATGCACACACAGGGAAGGAATCTTGGAACAAGCGAACACAACGGCGTGGGAGGTCCTGAGCTGATACAGACATTTGCAACGTGCCGTTGTCTGTGGATTCACCGCATAGAAACAGCATACATAATTCAGTTTTTGATGATAACTTATTCATACAGGATGAAACCTATAGCATTGTGGGTACGGCCAATGTTTCAGACACTAATTGAAGGATTGTCAACTAAATCAAATGTATTAAATCATCAGATTTTTGCTGGTTCCCACTCCCCACTTTGACTCTAAAGACAGCCGATGCGTGCACATTAACGCATTCAATAAGACATCGCTCATGTTGAGGTGGACGCCCGCTGAGGCGATGCAGCGCATCTCACACCTGTCCGCAGTGCGCTTGCCCCCGCCACAGTGTCAAAAAAAACCGAAGAACAAAAAAAGCGACAGAATCCTTTCCTCTTACCTCCTGTAATTGCTCCAAGTCCTTCCTGAGAGTGTCTTGGTCTAACTCCAGGTCTGCGTACCGCTGCTTCAGCGCCTGGTTCTCCTCCAGGACCACGAGCCCGCACTCCGCAGCCCTGATCTTCTCCCGGTTCGCCTCGGCCAGTTCCTGGGAGAGCCGCTCCAACTCGGCCCGGTACTGATCCATCGATTCCCCGCAAACTCCATCGGCGGCCATCGCCCCTCTCTCCTTCTCTGTCTGTGTCTGTGTCTGTCCCCCCTGTCGGTCCGCGGGTTCCCCCCCAGTCTCTCCACCGCTTAGGACAGAGCCACAGAGGCGGGCGGAGGCTGAGAGATGCTGAATACCCCCCCCCTCCCCGAAAGAGTCAGAGCAGGCAGTGGGAACTCAAAATAAAATATAAATATGATTCTTTCCTATAAAATTATCAATATCACCTAACCGCAGGTAAATGTCATTAAAACGTCCATAACAGCGGATGACAGAAGCCCTGCGATATAAAAGCAGGTCAGTGTAGTGCTTCTGTGTGACACTCAGCAAAATAGAGAGAGAGCAGTATTTTTGCTTATTCATGAGTGAAAGTGCGCCACCTCTCATCTGCTGTGAGACATAACATGCACATCTTTTTGTAGTCGGGCACCTGCATCTGTGCAAGGTGGATGGCTCCATGTGCTCTCAGTATTCACACTTACCCACGTGCACTGGTTATGGCTGAAACCATTGTATTGTATAAAAAAAGAATAATGGAAAAGGGAGTAGAGGGATTGTTTTTCACTTTGCATGTATGGTTTTGGATAGCAGTTTTATGGCGGTATATGAATTATTTTTGATTGCATTATTCATTTTTTTAAACAGTGTTTCCATCAAATACAGTAAAATCTCTAAATGTATTACTGAGAAATACAGACATAACAATGACATCAAATGTTGAAATTAATAATACAAATAATAACAATACCTTTATTTATAAAGCACCTTTCAAAACAAGTTATGAACTGCTTTGTATATAATTTTAAAAAAGACAAGAAGCAAACAGTTGATTAAATATGATAACAACATACATAATAAAACAAGAGTAAAATTAATACAAGGCAAGTCTGAAAAAGTGAGTTTTTAAAAGTGACTTAAAGAAGACAATATGTTAGCTCCCCTGATCTCCTCCGCCAGGTCATTCCACAACGGAGTTGCCCGAACAGAAAATGTTTCCTTTTAAGGTTTGATTGAAGAATAGGCAGCAATGTACTACCAGAGGATGTCAGGTTTCATTCAGGCTTGTAGTAGGAAAACATTCTTGAGTTTCAATTTATTCCATAGAAGTCAGTTTAACTGATTTCTTTTAATTATCCTCAATATTTAAATATCTTTATTTTAGTGGTATCTGACCGGTTATGTTTTGTTCTTGGATAAAGACAACGACAGTGACTGTATTGTCTACCATTTGTACTTTATTAAAATGATTATACTGCAAATGTCCAAGGACATTGTGATATCTTGGTTTTCTCCCCCAAACAAGTCACATCAGTTGAGCCTGCCTTGTTTCCTACTAAACTGTTCGTATAGACGCCGGTTTGTAATCGCAGTAGCATAACAATGTCCGCTTTTACCCTGCCCCCTGCAGCCAGGAGAACAGTCGATCTTGCAGCAAAAAAACATGCAATGAAAGAAGATATGACAAGGTAGAAATGTTTGACCGTTCTGAGAGGCTTGTTAAACCTAATCAGTTATGGTACTCTGAGTTATGGCATTGATAGTGAAGGCGATGCTGCGTTATCTTCCTATAATTGATGATTATTTGAGACATAGCCTATGTAACACTTCTCAGAAAGAAGGGGGCATGAGTGGTTCATGTCATAGTTGGAGCATTTTCACAGAACAATATTAGCATCATAAGAAGGTTTAGTACATGTGGTGTTACATTATAACGGGAAAAGTTATGAATTACATTTACAGTAGTCTGTGTTTAACTAAATAAATAAAGATGAATAAAGAAATCCCTATACATGTTTTTTTGTACTTTTTCTCATTTAAGTCACACTTATTTCCACATATTGACAGCCCCACCACATAGTAACTATCCATACCTTCAGCTGGTATTTCCCCTTTGATCCTTTTCAACAAGTTCTCTAATTACCCCCACCTTAACTGCCAGTAACTCGGATTTACGACCCTAAATTAAGATTAGGAGAGGTCAGAAAGTCAAACAGATGAACAGTTCATGGCGGCGCTGTATCTTATCTCTGACAAGGAAGTGTTGTGTCATGACAAAATCAAATTAATCTCCCGCACAATAACACAGCTCTCTACCAAGAAGCGTGCCGCCGTACCAAGTACCCTCCAACCTTGACTTAAACCGGGACTACATCAGTACAGATCTATCACAAGCCGACTGCTTTCAGTAGGCACGCAGGATACTCATTTATAAAGTCAACTTTATTGGAAATTTGTTAAAATGCAAACTTTATTTCATGTTGTCAACACAGTATATATACAGTCGTTATAGTTTAGAGATTACAGCCTGGCCCGCAGTGCTTTTGTGTATCACCAGGAACTCAGCACGACGTGATTCAACACAGTGGTGTCATCATTTGTAAGAATACCAAAGTTGCTATCTGTCTGTCTCCAGCGGGTCAAAATACAGAGTCCTGTGACCTGAGGAATGTGTGTCGGTCAGCAAGCCGGGTGTTGAAGTCGCTCTGAGGAACAGCCTTGATTGAAGGGGTTTAGGTAAGCAGCATGGCAGCCAGCACACCGTCTGCTGCTGGGCCTTCTGTAAGAGCTGCAAGAGCACACACTGATGAGAACTTCTGAGATTGTATCACTTTTGATGAGGTTCATGCTTTAGTCAGCTTCCCTGTGAAAAGATTGATGTTGTGTCTCCTTGCACTTTTCTTGAGTTAGCATATGAGTATATACACTACTGGCTATGGTACTGATTAGTGCCTTGGTTTCTATATACACACATACTTCCTTCTAAAATGTATTTTTATATTGTTAAAATTCTCAGCTCTTTTCTTTTTTACAATAGTCTTGTGTTACCTCATAATAAAGCAGGTGATGACGGGCTGGCTGCATGTGCTGTCTGGCCATCAGTTCTATATCCTTCAGCGTTTCAGCCTTCCTCCATTTGGCTCTGCGGTTCTGGAACCAAATCTGAAGCACAAACAACACGTGTAGAACACATTTAAACGTAACCATGTATGTGTAGCAGACTAAAGAAAGACCCACAGTCTTTTGTTATCACTTTCCTCTGAGAAGAAATCATCCTCAGTGACTAATCAATGTTTTGGTAAACACTTTTATCCTGTAATGTGTCATTTATCGTTAGTGATGTGTCTTATGTAAGCAGCTGACCAAAGACCTTGTTCCATTGATGACTGTTTAGTATAATCAGCCTATTGTTTCAGAACATTCACAGAATTGTTAGTTTGACTTGTTGACTTGTTGAGCCCAATATCTGTGGTCACTGGTTGTTGATTTGACCAAACTTAATCATAAGATGAATGAAATGTCAATACTGGTTTGACAAGCAAAGCTAAATTGTTGCTATTGTACAGCTCTGAATGTCAGCAGCATGATCTCGCATTATTGACTATTGCCTCACGTGAATATCCTGAATAATGCAACATCATGAATGTAATATTTAATACTGCCATAATGATTCTTTGTAAAATCATCATGGACACCAGTGTTTGCTCATTTCTAAAGACTGGGAAACACCATAAAAAGCCAAACAAACACACTCAGGTAAATTATGACCAACGATGAACTGCACGTGTCCTACCTGTATTCGGCCCTCGGTGAGGTGCAGGCGAGAGGCTAACTGGTCTCTGCTGTTGACGTCTGGATAGTGAGTCTGCTGGAAGACTTTCTCGAGCTCCTGCACCTGAAAGGGTGTAAAAGTGACCCTCGTTTGCCTCCTTTTCCTCTGACCTGGAAACAAATTATTGTCATCCGCATCATTTAAACATTTAATCGTGTTTCTTTGTCAGAAATCATAATACTCACTCATGCAGTCTGTGGTCACTTTTGGAGGCTCTTCAAGTTGTCTGATTTGTGGAGTTTCTATTGGCAGAAAGAAAAATGTTCTTTTGTAATCCTATTTTAATGGTAACTAAAATGTAGCAACTCCTTTTTGGAGAATAAAAATAAAAGAGTAATGTGACACATACCTACACAAGAGAGCTGGTTAGATATTCTGGTGTTCTCCTTGATAACAGACCAGTTGCGATGAACACATTTCTCTCTCCTGACACACGTGGGCCTCCTCAGAATTTCTTCAATCGAATGTGGTAATGTCTTGTGTGGCTGGGATTCCATTTCTAGATCCATGCGGGACTCTTTCTCCGTATCTCATCTATTCCACATCTCCAGCAGTTTATCCCCCGCCATCAGCAACTTTGTCATCAAATGAAGAACAGTAGTGGTACAGACTCACCATTCACCATTCACCGGTATTCAGGAGCTCAAAACATCCTCTTATTACCACGTCTCAGGCTAAAGACTTCTTCTTCTTCTCCTCCTCTCTGAAAACTTTGTTGGACTCTCTTTCTGCAAGGTGAGGACAGTTAGGTTGCCCCCCCCCCCCCCCCCCCCCCCGTCAGCCTGAGTTTGACCTGCATCACATGGTCATTATCAGGGAGGAGCGACTGGCAGTATATGTAATTGCACACCTCTAGGATTTCAGTGTCTAAGAACTTTTAAGGCGTGCTCATTGTAAATATGTAAACTTTATAATATTATCTGCCCTTATCAAACACACACACACACACCTACACACACACACACACACACACACACACACATACACACATACACAGACTATCTCATAAAACCGAGATGTTACATTTACGGTGAAGCTTTTCTGCCTTCAGTGTAAAGCGTAAAAGCAAATTCGTGCTTTGTAGGGCCAAGCTCGGACACAATCTGTGTGGGCCTGCAGTTTGATTAACACCTGCATAACATTCAACCATAAAACATATTTAAACTGCTGCTTCTCTTTCTTATCACCAGATTTATTGGAAGCCTAATCTTTATCACCTTGGCCTCAGCATGCCCTCTCACACTTGAGTTCACCTTTCAGACACACTGGGAACACGACCCCAGTGACTCCTTTGTGGCGTGTTTGGGTACAATGTCTCCATCTAGTGGTGTTGGCTCTTCAGTGCAATCACCTTTGATTCTCTGACCATAGCAATGTAACATTATGAGGTCTTCCTGTGTGTCACGTCAAAGATCAGGTGATGATGTTAATAGACCCTTTTCATGGCAGACATTTTGAAATTTCATCACAGGTAAAGCACATTGTCCTATATTAGAGGAGGTCCTAATGAATCACTTGAATAGCTTACTGAGACACTCACTGTATATAAGACCTGTGTGTTTCCTGCTATGACAAGTTAAAATGTCTGCTGTGAAAAAGGCCTATTGAGCGGATTTTGTGAGATCATTTTTGAACCTGGAAATAAAGGGTTAGTTTGAGGAAGATGACAAAAAGGGATCTTTTGTTTTTAGGTTTAACTTGACAACATAAAAGGGTGAGGACATTGACAAGCTCACAAGGTAACAGTGTAGTGATGAGATATTTACTGACAGAGCATGCTAGTCTTGCAATACTACTTGCACCTCTAGAGGTGATAGTGACTCACCATAGCATCTAGTCTGCCCTCATTGACCAAATTAATTGAACTTAACAATATTGACTACTGCTAAATGCAAGCTCAGACAGCTACAGGAGCCTTCATGTGATATTTATTAAAGATAAAGACAACAGATATTCACTCTAACCACGTGATGGCGCTGTTCTCTACCTCTCTGGTTTCTCATGAGTCACAAAATGTGACCCACTGTGTCTCTTGTGGTCTGTATGTAAACTAATGTGTGTGCTGCTCTAAACGGTATGGTGAAAAATACACATACAAAATACAAACCAAGATGGTATTTTGTAAAACTGTAAAAAAAATATCTTGTTACAGTGAAAATAGAAATGCTGGTTCTCCATAGTGATGATACCAGCAACTTCCATTTTTAATTACCAAATATATGCTCTAATATTAAATTATTATAACACTGACCAGACCGTAACAATGTTTTATGCAATTCTCATATAAAGGAGCTGAAAATTAATTTCGATACAGAGAAAATGCCTTTTTACACACTTTTAGTTCACATTTTGACCTCTAAATGAAAACAATATTGATTATATGCTTACACGTGCGACACATTATTCTGTAACAGATTCCCTGTCCACTCAGCGATTGATTGCACGCTGACCCTCTCCCAATTCGATTATGGAGTAGTCTCACAGACACACATTTAAATAATACGCCGTCTCTGAGGTTTAATGCGATCATGTGTCTCTGAGTTACAGCTTGACGCAAACACTCAAATGTGACCGTCGTGATCAATACTATGAAGGGTTGAAAGATAGGAAGAAAGAAAAGAAAGTTCTTCGTTCTTTCTTCACTACATTGGCTTTGTTTGGTGACTGGACTCATGTTTACACAAACATTATTGACACGCTTTAATGAGCAGAAGACAACAATGGCTTTGCTGCTTATTACTCCCAGTTCAACCAGTTCATGACAGTTCATGACAGTTCATGACATGCACATGCACAACAGGATTCTGGCTTCATTCAGCTTTCATAAAGTGATATGAAAGAATAATAGTACCAATTCCAGGCCCTCACTCCATGCCATGTGATCCTTGTAGAGAGTATGCTGCATTCAGTCACATGCACACAGAGCAGATGCCCTCATGATGCCTCCGTGTTGCTTCCCTCTGTGCTTTGCAACTTTCATGTGAACTCAATTTCCTTCATCTATTCCATTTGGTGCATTTTTTTTCAAGCTTCCATTCCTTCTTTTTGAACAGTCTATAACAGCGAAAACCAACGTTTTCTCATAGTATTATGTCGCAAAAAACGTTTTTATAAAAGATTCTGCACAGGCTGTAAGAGGAGAGCGTCAATGTTACAGATAATTATCAGTAGTAGTTTCTTACTCTATGAAGGTCTTAAAGACAATTTGCTTGTTTGTTGTCAAATGAACAGATATAAACGGAAATATCTTGACAGCTATTTGATGGGTTGACATGAAATTCTGTACTGACATGCATGGTCCCCAGTCGACGAAGCCTGCAGATTCTGATGATGACCTGACTTTTTCCTCGAGTGCCACCATGAGGTTGACGTTTGTGGTTTTGATTGAAATGTCTCGAGAACAATTGAATAGATTTTCATGAAACATTGTACATTTATCTTCTCTGCTAGCGCAACCATCAGGTCTAAATTTTAAATGTGTCCACTACTTTGATTTATGACCAAGTTTTCTATAGGTTGTAACATTTCAAAGACCAGCTGCTTATTTAGATGATACACGTCCACAGAACCCTACAGCTGGTATTCTGTGTACCGAGGACTGCATAAAATACACTATAAAAATGATTTAATAAATTGCAGAGTAACAGTAAAAAAATAAGAAGTTGTGTGACAGTGTCTGGGATCAATTTAAGGTGAGGTGATCCCTTGATGAACTTTGTTCTTAAATAGCCTACTGCATGCTTGTTCTTCCTCCTGGTGCCATGCAGCAGCCTGTCTGTGACCTGGATCTTCACTTTGAAACAAGAAGAGATGCAGTGAGTACAACGTGTGAGACTCTGAGCTTCCTCTGCTGCCATAATACGACTTCCTTAATGAACTAGATGTGGGTTGCTATCAAACTCTTAATTTAGACTAATAATATAATTGAATCTAATATCATTTAGGGGAAATCGAACTTTACGGTTAATGAATAAATGAAGTTAACGTTTACTGATTAATTAACTCATCATCAGTAAGAGATTTGCACCATGTGACAACATGTGATAGTAAGGGAGGTCTGGAGGCCAAAAAGTGCAAGATATATACAGTATAAGCTATGCCCTGAAGACTGGATTTCAACTATTCAGTACCTCTTCAGGCCTCCGGGGTCTTGTAATGAGAACAGGAGTTGTGTTTGAGGGCAACCGAGAAAGAGAAAGAAATGCCTTCTCCTAGTGACCAGATGCTGGTTGGTCAGCTGCTATTAATGTTGTCATTGGGCTCACATGAGCTGCTGGTGGGACTCATTTCAGTCAACAAGCGTTAAGCAGTCTCAAGGCTAAACTCTGCTCCTTCCTACCAAAGTGCACACCCCACCTCCTGGCTCTCTGCCTTCTCTATCAGGCGCTCCCGTCCTCTCTTGATGTGTTCCCTCCCCTCTCGCTGATGTTTCTTCACTTTCACGTTTTGTATTCGGACCCAAAGATCCCCACCTGAGCCTTTAGGCTGACATGGCTCCAGGAAAGGACAGTAATGGTGTTGACAACTACGCATTTGCAGTAAGTAACCTTTGCCTCTTTATTTTTACAAGAAAATGTTTTGAAAAGATTACAAACTTTAAATGTTCTTGTAAAGCCATTCAAGACAATTATAAAGCTTAAAGTACATGGTCATGTGAAAATCCAATGATTTCCTTTTAAAGTGTGTGAATCTGGACACATTCTGGTTGCATTTATAACTATGATGATTTATCTCTTCTCTAAGTGCATTATGGGTCATAGTTGTTTTCATCAGTTAATAATTGACACCCGATAGAATAGCTGGCAAAGTAGCGTCATGGAAACATATGAATGTACATTCTTGCTCCTCCATGCTAAAAAATACAACACTGACTTGCTGTTTAGTCAGAGAAACAGGAGGTTTTAGGTCAAATCTTAACTTTATTCAAAAGTGATGATACTTTGTCTGGACTGAGCCCAGAATAAATAAATAAATACATAAGAAAGACAGTATAACATTTAGTCCTTCTGATGAAAATGTGTAACTCATCCGACTGTAACTTTTTGTTTCTTCTAGAAATTATTAAAGTCGTGAGCTAACAAATATCTAACCAATTTCCCTTACGAGGAATTGTCAGGCCTATGGGCGTCCCAAAGTTGTGCTGGTTGAACGAGTACTAAAGCATTCAATTGTTTTACTTTTGTTTTGAGATTGTACCCATATGACAACATTACAGATCTGCAGCATGTCATTACTTCATGTGTCCTTAACTGACCTAGCTGTCTGTTTCTCCATCTGACTAATTGAAGCTTGAGGGGCGCTTTTGTGATCTACCTGACACAGAATGTGGAGAAGAAATGGACACGTCCACAGAGGGAAACAGCAACAAGCTAGCATATTGCGTGACAGATGTACCTCCCTGGTACCTGTGCATCATCCTTGGCATCCAGGTACGTCAGCAAAAGGGGTTTTAAAGCCACGTTTGACAATGAGGCTCTAGTCGTTTCCTGATAAAGAGACAACAGCATAGCTTCTGATTATTATGATGTCGCAATGTAAACATGACAACAGTGTCACATGAGAGCTTCTGTTTGACGTTTCCTTCATGCTTGGTTAGACTTGGTCTTATTTTCACAAGCCTTATTGTAAAATTTGCTTCAGATACAGTTGAGATGATAAAGTCAGCAAGTCTTTTTATGTGTTTAGTGGCTGTGATCAGTCAGACTTTCCTCTGAAGACCTGACTTAGTTGTATTTACTCATATCAAATATTTCCTTTTCTACCATTACCATTTTTATAGCATATATCACTGGTCACTCCAGGTATACATGTAGTCCACTGACTTGCTACAAACATGTCAAGGTTAGCTTTGACATGTTAGCTTTTTAAATTCTCCTTATGTACATCAGACATGAACTAAATGTATCTCTTTTTCTCTCTCAGCACTGTTTGACAGCATTTGGGGGAATCATCGCCATCCCACTAATCCTGTCTCAGGGGTTGTGTCTGCAGTTTGACGGCCTCACACAGAGCCACCTCATAAGCACCATCTTCTTCGTCTCTGGTATTTGCACTCTGTTGCAAGTTACTTTCGGCATTAGGTAAGGGAGTAAAAGAGGGGTAGTTTAATGAGCAGGAAGATGTTTGGGTGATAAATATATAACCTCAGGATTTTATCACCTCTCATGTCAGAGTGAACCTTGAACAAGGGAATATTCTACTGTGTTAGTGGGCACAGCTTCTATTTAAGGGATTACGGGAGGAATAAAGGAGAGCTTTCACCTGAGTATGCTTTCAAATGTTACGGTACTTTTAGCTGTGACGAGGAAAAAAGAGGTAAAACAAAGAATGACATATTGAGATACCTACTGTTTTATAAAACATCTTACCTAATTGTTTGTTGCCACTGCATTTTTATTTAAGTATCAAAAACATATAGCCTACCTACAGTATAATACAAATACTAAGTGATACATTTTTAATACAATATGATGCAAAACAATATAAACAGATACAAAAATAATACAATTTGATGCAGTAGATTACAACTTCTTCTCTGTTGCTGCAAATGGCAGAAGAGAGTACCCAAAAGAAAAAATGCAGACTAGCAGCACAAAGTGTTAAAGCTACTCAATGTGACATATCTCTTGTGTGCAGAGACATGCACACATGGAGAAATGATGCAATGGCTGTTCTTTGTTCAAGAGCCCTACAAACTTCAACCGTGTTTTGTTGCTCTGAACTTGTGTGCAGACTGGCTGACTATTGGTGTCACAGTAGGATTAGGGCAGGAATTTCAATCTTATTATGTTTGTAATCTAGCTATTGCTAAATCTGCATTCCCTGACTTAGCACCACTGCTGCTTTCTTATCTCTATCAAATACCTGGAGTTCAGGACATTTTTAGTCTCCTGAGGTCTAATGTGAATTGTTGACAGTAATTTGAGCAGCATAATGAGGATCATTACATAGCAGATGACTTTAACTCAGTTAACCCCTGATACAGCAGTCCACCCAATTAGAGCGCACATGATTTAAATCAAGCATATTATCACATGAGTGTAAGAAACAGGGACTGTGTATACAGATAGAGACTCTTGATGTGGACTTGAGAGGAGCTGCACTTTTGTCAAACAAATGTAACCTTTTTATTGCTGCTTTAAAAATTGTTGTGGTTGTTGATTTACCCGCTACCCCCAAGCTATCTTGCACAACATCTGACGTGGGATAAGTTAATAAGATGACATGCTGAATAGTACTCCTATCCTGACTTCGTATCTGTCTGGCTCTCTTCTCCTAATTGCCCTTGTGATATCTCTTTGACATTTCCAGACTTCCCATTCTCCAAGGTGGTACATTCACGTTGCTGGCTCCTTCCATGGCAATGTTGTCCATGCCAGAGTGGACATGTCCTGCTTGGACACAAAATGCCAGCCTCGTCAACACGTCCTCCACAGAATTTATAGAGGTGTGGCAGAGTCGAATGAGAGCGGTAAGAAAACCCATCTAATCTTTCTATTAACGACTCACAGAGTAACTAATTGATCATTTTCTGTGAAAGGTATTTTGTTCACATGTAAATGGCCCCTGGCCAGTTTTGAACCTGTGAACCTAACACTATTATCAGGCAAACACAACTTCTTTTATATAGCTTAAAGCTGCACTAATCAATATTTGTGTATAACCAAAAGTTCAAATGACAACGTGTAATGTGTAAAGTGTCGCTCATGGTTAAAAACTCCGGGAATAATTATCCAAATCAGCAGTTCCCCTCATACAGAGAGCTTTGACATGTTTCAGATCATTGTTTTGGTCTTACGGCCGGCAGCTTTGATGTTTCGGATCAGTGCGACTGCTCTTCTCAACCTTGTTTCCGGGCAACTGTTTTCAGGGAAAAAACAACTGAGTGCTACCTGCCCAGCCCCAGCGGCAGGTTTATAAAGTTAGCGACTAGCTTGTTGCGGACGACAACAGCAAGATGGTGAAAACTGAAATGTGATGATTAAAAAGAATCTTTAATCTGATAAATCTTTGGTTTTGTTGACCTCCAGGGCATTTATGGTGCTGACTGACAAACCCTCAGTTTACAACATCTCACAGAGGAGAAAAGCAACAATATCAATATACAATAATACAATATCAAGCACCATTCTGACCTCCTGAACCACTTTGTTGAATTGTTAGTCTCTTGCGGGTTAAGGACCCAGAAATATGGCTTCTTTTAAAAGACTCAGAGGAAGACACTGTGAACTTATGAGGACCCGAATTTACATTAAATTAATGTGCCATATTTTACTATCTGAAAAGTATGCATTTAAACTTTAAGTGTGGAAACTCACAATTATAATTAATTATTTATTAATAAATAATAATAATTATTGATTAATATCAAGCTACAGACTGAAGCTTTATGACCCTAGTTTATGACCCCTAGCCGGCACTCCTCTGGTGTGTCTCTCAAAATCACACAACGATACAAACACACACACACACACACACACACACACACACACACACACATACACACGGAGACACACATCCGACTGTGAATGAAAGACTTTAAGGAAACTGACTTTTGATGCAAAATAACATGAACCTTGAATAATTGATATGTTATGCTGAGCTAACGTGTTTATAGGAAAAGTGCTTTGACAAGTTGGTTTTGGACGTTCTGTTGACCTCTCTCCCAGAGAATGATTCCTTGAGATATAATCTGTGCTAATTTTCACTTTCTTTGTAACCATTCGCACATTGACAGTTAATACATTGTGTTTTGCATTTGTTCTAACCTTCGTTTGTAATTATACAAAATGAATCTTGGATTACTGACCTACTAAATATAGTGTTCCTTTATGCATTAATTGTGCAACCTTGAGATTTACAAAATCTCTAAATTTGAAAACATTTGAGTTTATAAATATTATGTATTGTTAAGTTCATGAGAACCAAGTCTGTTAACAATTATTTTGTTTTCCTGTCATATAAATTGGACGTTGAGCTGAACAGCACCATTGGTCTGAACAGCTATTTAATTTGCATATGGTAACAAAAATGTGACAATAATCATAGCTATTAAGCTCATCTCTGGTATACCTTTGTAATTAGAGCGACGCCACATTTTGACGTCATCTTACTTGTCGTTCTTCAGCTGCAGGGGTCCATTATGGTGGGCTCACTCTTCCAGTTGTTTGTTGGTTTCTCCGGCCTCATCGGCCTCTTCATGCGCTTCATCGGACCTCTCACCATCGCACCCACCATCTCTCTCATTGGACTGTCTCTGTTTGACTCAGCCGGTACCAGTGCTGGCAACCACTGGGGTATCGCCAGCATGTGGGTAAAATTACCAAACAGTGTCATTTTAGGGTTTGGGTTTATCACTTTGTGATAAGTGCCTTTGTCAAAAAATCTGTTAGCTCCTCTACTTTGCTTTATGTTGGTTAGAACTAGCTTCAGCAACAAAGTAGTACAGTCCTATTTAACACTGTGACATTTACTGTATATGAATGAATGGCTTTGTCCCTGTCTCTCACAGGACCACAGCACTGATCATCCTGTTCTCACAGTACCTCCGTCACATACCTGTGCCCTTTCCTACGTTCAGCAAGGAGAAAAAGCTGCACACCTCCCCTGTCTACGTCTTTCAGATTCTCCCTGTATGTATCATCAAACAAGTTGATTGAAATATATTAAGTAGAGTATGGATTTAATCTTTAGACTTTATTCTTTTTTTTCTGCGTGTCCTCAGGTTCTGCTTGGAATAACTTTGCCTTGGCTTGTTTGCTACATTTTGACAATCTACAATGTATTTCCTACTGAACCAGACCAGTACGGCTATCTGGCCCGTACTGACCTAAAGGGAGATGTTGTGAGCCAAGCTCACTGGTTAACTTTTCCGTACCCAGGTAAAAGGCCGACAAACTATCACCTGAAGTTAGTTTTTGTTAATAAAAAAGTAAATAGAAAAAGAAAGGTTCGCTGGTTATAACACTGTGTCATTCTCTGTTTCCTTGTGTTTGAATCCAAACTTAGGTCAGTGGGGGATGCCGACTGTGAGCCTGGCAGGGGTGGTTGGCATCTTAGCTGGTGTGATTTCCTCCATGATAGAGTCTGTAGGAGACTACCACGCTTGTGCCAGGCTGTCTGGGGCTCCACCTCCCCCTAAACACGCTATAAACAGGGGTATTGGCATTGAGGGACTGGGCTGTCTGCTGGCTGGAGCCTGGGGTACAGGAAACGGGACCACTTCATACAGCGAGAATATTGGAGCCCTCGGTATTACAAAGGTAAGACGAGCCTGAGCACATCTGGAAGTGATTTTCTCCAACTGACAAATTTAAGCATAACCTTTTTGTTTCTTTTCAGGGTCATTGATGTTGTTTAAATACAGACAGTTTCACAAGAAGCCTTTTATTTTTCTGTCTTTTCATTTTGCAGGTTGGCAGTCGCATGGTGATTGTGGCCAGCGGGGTCTTAATGGTCGCCATGGGTGTGTTTGGTAAAGTGAGCGCCATATTCACCACTATCCCATCACCTGTGGTTGGAGGGATGTTCATGGTTATGTTTGGCGTCATCTCTGCAGCAGGAATTTCTAATCTGCAGGTACACATTCAAAGGCTTTTTGGCAAAGATGGGGGTTTTTTTATATTGACATTTTAAATTTCGGTTAAAACCTTTTTTTCAATTTTTTTTTTACCACATTCTCAGTATGCCGATATGAATTCTTCTCGAAACATCTTCATTTTTGGCTTCTCCATGTTCTCTGGTCTGGTCATTCCCAACTGGATATTTAAAAACCCCAAAGCTATTGCTACAGGTACATGAATTAAATGTCAGTATACAATCTGTGATTTTCAGATAAAGCATCCTACTTTTACTTGATTATTTAAAATATTTTTATTGTGTTGTGTTCAGGTGTCGTTGAACTCGACCAGGTGCTACTGGTACTTCTGACAACCAGTATGTTTGTAGGAGGTTTCTTTGGCTTCTTTCTGGACAACACAATTCCAGGTATTTTCTACATTGAAGTATTCGTTTTTTTATGTTTAAATTGTTTCGGTAATCTAAATCCTCTTCTCTATTAAGTCACTATTTTGTCCTAATGTTAACAGCAAAATAGAATTGTAAAAATATGTGATATGCAATCTTGATGATTAAACCAGAGATCCAGCACAAATGTCAATGTCAAAGAGTCAATATAGAGTCTTCAGTAGACCGTAGTAGTACGGTTTAACACGTTTAACATGTGTTTTACAGGATCAAAGCATGAACGAGGCATCCTGGCTTGGAACAAAGCACACGAGGATGACTCCAGCAACACACTGGAGAGCGGAGAAGTCTACAACCTCCCCTTTGGCATCAGCTCTTACTTGTCTTCTTCCTCCTGGGTCCGGTCCATACCTTTCTGCCCTCCTGCTGAGCCCAGCTCCCTGGATGGATGCACAGCAGATACTAATGCCCTGGAGCCTAAGCAGCAACCTGGACATCCAGAGCCTTCACAGATTATTATTGGAGTTGCTCTGTGAGTTGTGTACTCACTTTCAGCATGCAATTTTGGGAATTTAGCATACAACACATCAGAGGCAGCTCAGTTTGAACTTCTTTTCATTTGTTAAAGACACTGTACTGTACTGTGTGACCTTTTGGAGAGCTGTTTTGCATAAGATTGCTTATGGTTTTCTTTAGGGAGGTACATAAGTACCTGATTATTATTAATTGTTATAAATGATATGTATAAATCTTACAGACAAATTTCTGTAGAGTATTCACTTGAGTAAAACTAATGAATTATTTAGTTTGCTTATCAGTTTTAGAACGTGATCACAAGCAGGTGCTAGTAGACCAGAAAGACACGTGAATGTAAGTAGGTCCATGATGTTTTATGTTTTTTTTATTGCATTTAGCATATAAATCTTATAAAGAGTTACATGTTTATGCTGTGCCTCATGTTTGAATTAACTTTGCTGTCACAGTAAATATTTTAATAATTGTGTTATTATCAGTCAATGCACTTTACTTATATGTGGCAACAGTTTGTTATAGTTTCTGACAGTATTTCTCTCCCAGGCTCCTTACAGCTTGCCGTTGTTTCCTCAATGTATACAAACTAAGAGCACCCACTAATCTCTATGGATCTTTTTCATATGAGCATATCACACATGGAGCCATTGGGCAGCAACATCAGTGTTCGACTCAGTTTTTCTCTGTCAGATCCTGCTTGATGGCTCTGTACAAACTAACAAAAGACTCAGCCCACATCCGTCGTTGGTGTTCGGTCGAGGAATCGACCATCACCTGGGCGGTGTATACCAAGGTCAACAGGGTGCGCTCAAAATCTTCCTGATGCAGGTGACCAATGTGGTGTGAAAGGCCAGAGATGAGCCTAAATACGTCTGATAGCTTCTTGGGAATGATCTCCTCACAGATGACTTCAAGGTTTCTTGTCTTGCGGAGGGAAGCCAGCTCAGCATCTTGCACTGACAACTCTCCACTTGCCTCAAAGTTAATGCCAGTAAGCAGGATCTAGTAGAGGAAAAGAAGAACAACTAGTGTTCATTGAGGTTTATTAGCTGGTTTTACACCTCAGACACTCATTTATGGATGTACGTGTCTCACCTCGAATAACAGATGAACGTCATCGAAGGAGTCGTGGAAGGTGGGGCTCACCACACTTGTCAACCCTCTTTTCATTTTGCTTACAGCTGGGAATAGAGCTAGTATGTCAAGAGAGATAGACAGGGAGAGTAAGGGATGGTAGAAAAGCAACAACAGTTTCCCGAGCAAAACCTTTCCTTTCACGTGTATGTCTCGTAATTTACTGCTGTGGACCCAAAAGGCTTCTTGAACCTGTTAAGCTGGAAATCCATGTGACAAGCAGTTAAAACAAACTCTGAACTGTCCTGACACATGTGATACCCACCGGGAGATACTGCAGTTAATCTATGATATGCATTTCAAACGCCGCGATCTCTGACCTTACAGATGACTTCTATCTGCAGGCGATGAGACATGACCTCAGACTTCAAAGGCAGCAGAGGAATGAAGGGCGGTGTAACACACGGATCGTACAACAGGGTCCAGAAGATTTCAGCATGCAGTGTATGTGGGCTTAGTGTCTTCATGCTCATTTTCACAGCATGGGGAGAGCAGGGTGTCAACCACAACAAATCCTATGCGGTCTAAGAGAGCTCACACGAAAACCTTTCCCCTTGTTTATTATTGGAGCATGAGGAAGTATAACCATTACGCATTTGCCCAGACATTCCTCAAATAATATGCAGTCACGTTACGCGAAATACTAACAACTGTGCAGAAACAGAGCTCAAAACCTATATACAGCGGTGCTTTGAGCTAAATGCTTAAATGCACAAAAATGACTATGCTAACATATACAAATGTTCGGCAAGTACAATTGCTGTGTCCCAAATCTATACTTCACACAGATTATAAGCAGGAAGCAAAGCCTGAAGCCACTTTGTTGGCCCATGCACAGGGCGAGCACTTTTCATCCACATGACCGGGCGGCATTCTCGCATCCGGTATTCAAATTCTTATAATGCATCCATGGTATTTGCTCATGTCTTGGACAAATTGAAATTTTGCCCAAAGAAAATCGAGGGGATCAGCAAAGTTTTTAGAAATCATGGTGAGGGGCAACATGAAAGAGGAGCCACTGACAGAATGACATTGCTATTCATCAAGGTAAAGAACTGAAAGGAAGAAATCCAGACTCGAGAGAGAGAGATTTAGACCACTGTTTCCAATTACTGTCCAGTACCTCCAACCGTCTGGCTGGTTTTATTAATGCATGCTTTATCTGGAGCTCAGGCAGTTTACATGTCAGATGGTATATGATGATAATCACCCCACCCCCCTCCTCTCCTGAACATGGTGAGTCTTTTTTATTTGGACGCTCACTACGCAAGTTGCGTAGAGTTCCGCAAATTACGCAGGAATCAATGTTTACAACTTCGATGAGAGGATGAAGCAGAACAATCCTCACGAAAAGTGAAGAAAAACACACCATGAGTGAATTGCGGGAACAACAATCAGGCAAACTTGCGTTGCACGGTGTTTGTAAACTGCAGCTCAGAAAAGATAACCACGGCGCGCGTGAACATGCGTGAACATGTGTTCAAATGTGCGTGCGTGAAATGAAACTCGCTCTTTCCAGTTTCTTCAATTTCTTATTAAAGGTTAATATTCTCTTATCTCAAGATTCTATTGAAAATATTCTATTTAATAAATGTTTGTTTACCCCACATTGTTCTGTATCTGTCTACTTATTCTTAGACCAGCTAATGTAGCAAACTGTTTGAAAGGAGGGAGGATTGTAGGAGCAGCACTGGGTGTCAGGTGTGACTGTGTGGCGATGGCAAATGGTCTCTCTCAGTTTACATGTGTTTAGTAGGAGAGAGAGAGAGCACACGCATGCATTGACGTGTTCAAAGCAGATTTGCAGAGGGCCCATTCACTGTCAATTGTCAGGGGCCCAGCCATTTGAACAGATGGAGGTAACTCTGTATGAGGAACTCATACAGACATAAATGCAGACAGACAGGAAGTTAACCTGTCGTGCAGAAATTCAGGCCAGTGGGCTGTGACTGTGCTGGACTGCGTTGTTTCGTGCCATCATTTGAACCTGCGGCAGTGCAATCAAAACCATACAGCTATGTCTGGAGTCTAGTCTGGAGTAAAGATGTTGTGTCCAGCTCATACAGTGTCATTGTGGGATAAAGAAGAGATCTTTGGGAACACACTTGAAGGGACAGTTAACCCCCAAATTCAAAAATACAAATTGTTCCTCTTTCCTGTAGTGCTATACATCAGTCTAGATTGTTTTGGTGTGAGTGGCCTAGTTTTAGAGATATCGGTCGTAGAGATGTCGGCCTCTCCAATGTAATGGTATTATATGGCACTCAGCTTGTGGTGCTCAAGGTGCCAAAAAGGAGCCATTTGAAAAACTCAACAGCAATGTCTCTTTCCAGAAATCATGATGAAGATACTCAAGATAATCCACGGATCATGTTGTGAGCAGTTTCATGTAGGAACTAGTTCCTAGGAAAACAAAAAAACAGGGCAACTCACAATCAAACTTTGATTCATAAATAGCATGACAGGTAAGTGGAAATCATTTTGATTTTGGGGTGAACTATCCCTTTAAGAAATCGATTAGCCTCCTCCCATCCATTTAAAATTCAGGATCACAAGTACAACAAGTTGATGATATTTTAATAGACTTCAGCAGGATCTTGTTTGTAGTTGTAATTTTACCATTTGTTGCTTTTTCACACTTCTGCAGGATCAATTGATGCACTGAAGTCAGTCATAATGTTTAGATAATGATGTCCAGTAATCGAAGTTCAATAAGGCCAAAGAAGCTTGCACCCTTCATCAGGATTGTCTTTTCCTTTTGGTGAGTCTGATACATTAGTATGATCATATATATTATATTTCCTTCAAGCATTCTGATTGCATACTCATTTCATAAATATCTGACCAAAACCATCTTATATCATATTTGCTTACCCTTCCATTGAAATGCATTACAGTGTGTTTATAATTGGATGAGCCAGGCTGTAATCACCCAGTATTGACTGATCCTGAGGGCCCATATTCTGTTGATGTAAGTGGTAAAAAGAATAATGACGATCACGAGCTCGCCGGGCTTAGATCACATGGTGCATGAGCAACGTCACATGCTTGGCAGCTCCAGCTTGCAGTGAGAGGTCATTTTTTTGGAAAACTTAAGACAGGCCCAAAAATCACACATCAGTAAAATGAACACAGATGTCACATGTTTACTGTTGGTGATTCCATTTCTTTTTTATGATGAAGTGCTTCTTATTGCTTCTTGGATTCACATAGCCAGAAACATAAAATGCAACCGCCAGAATTGTTTCACCATCGCCGTCAGTGCATCATAACTTCTGTTCATGTTTTTTCATTGAGAGATAAAACCAAGAGAACTTATCAAATCACAAAAGATCCAACCTTTCTGAGATGAAAGGAATTCCCTGTCCAGAGCTGGTCTGAATATCTCACAGTGTGCTTTTCATTCACTTGAGGATATGAGTTTCCTCTCTCAGATCACTTTTGGTCCCTCCCATTGTTTTCCTATTAGAAACAGGTGCAGATGAGGTCTGAACCTGGTAGCTTGATACCAGGTTCAGACCTGGTATCAAGCTACCAGAGTAAAAGTGAAATTTGCTGTAACTAGAAAGACACATCTGTACGAGATGGCCATTATTTAATTCAATTCAATTTAAATGTGTTACTCTTAGTATTGTTGCTGAGAAAGAGGATTTGTTCCTCAAAACAAAGTGAGTGTTATGCATGAAGGAGGATTGCTTTAACTCTGCTGAATAACAGTGACATGTCTGAGATGAACAGGTTCTCGTGTCCACGTACATATAATGAGGTCATTCCTGTTACAAAACCATGCTTGCACCATATTTGTATTGATATATTTCTTTTCAGTAAAAACTTCATTTAGAAGTTGGAGTTTGGCAAGAAAATAAGAAGATGAGGAATGCTATTACAACTAAACCAATACACACTACAGCCAAGACTAATTCAATCTCTGCTCTGTACAATAGTAAGGGTTTTAAAAATTAAAAGATCCAGCATCAAATTCCTACAATTGAATAGCGTTGCCACTAAATACTATTCATGCTCTGCTAAGGAACATGTAGATACAAGAACAATGTTGCAATGAAACCTGTTACAGGCTGATACAAACACTGAACAGTTTGCTCTTCTGCACTAAAATACTGAGCTTCAGTTGAGGTCTTACCTTGAGTCTGATATTGGGTTACACCTGCTCTGATGCAGAAGTAGAAAAGACCAACGATGGCCATCCTCCAGGGCAGCATGGTGGCCTGATCACTCGCTCGATGCTAGTTGCATGTAACTGGGACTGGACAG